GCAACTCTTCCAACACCATCAACCACATCCACCAGCAGCCTACGACGAACAGGACGACGAGCAGCAACAGTTCGAGCTACACTTCGCCAAAGCCTTGCGGGCCGCACCAAAACGAAGCGCAGCTGGGCCCGACGGGTGGCGGTACGAGCACTTCCAACTCGTCCAAACTGACCTGTCCGCTCTGTGTGCCCTGGCCACAGTGGCCGCAGCACTAGCCCGCGGCACCCTCCCGCAGGAAGTGCAGGAACTGGCGACGGCCGCCCGCCTCCTCCCGCTCACCAAGAGCCCCACCCGAATCCGCCCCATCAACCTCGCCAGCCCGCTCCGCCGTCTCGCGTCCAAGGCGGTCAACAAAATGGCGGCGGACGAGGTCGCCGAGGGGCTTCGCGGCAAGCAGTACGGGTACAAACACACGGCTGGGGCGGAACTGGTCCACAAGCACGTGTCCACTGCCCTCCACGTCCGCCCGGACTACGCCGTGCTCTCTCTGGACGCTGCAGACGCCTTCCAGAACCTGAGCAGGGTGTACATCAACGAAGGTATCGATACTCACTGCCCAAAACTCCGCCGATGGGCACGAGGCTTCCTGCCGGACGCCGGGCAGGTAGTCTACCGCGACACCGGGGGCAGAAGACACATTTGGAACCAAACGACGGGGATCTTCCAGGGGTGCGGCATGGCCACCACGCTCTTTTGCCTCGGACTCGACCGAGCCCTCGAGAGGGCCAAACACCAACTCGACGCAGCAGGTATACAGCACGAGCTCTTCGGCTACATCGACGACCTCACCATCCTTGCGAAGCCTGAAGACCTGCCCACCATACACGCAGCATACACCAACGCACTCAGCCAAGCCGGCCTCCAAACACGCGTCGACAAATGTGAGGTGTGGGCGAGGAATCCTGCCGCGATACCAGCGGGCCTACCCGTGCCGCGAGTAGAGCAGCCCATGATCTTACGACAACACGCCGACGACTACTCCAGCCTGGCACCGACGCCGGTAACCGCCGACCAGCACGCCGAGGACGGCAGCCTGCACTCGCCCGCCTCGCCGCGACTACAACGCCAACGAACCAGGAGGACGACTGCCATGGCCAGACTCATGGACCTTCACAAAGCCGGCCTAGACGTTCAGACGTCTCTGGTACTTCTACGAACCCTCACTGCAGGAGACGTGACTTGGCACATGCGCACCAACGGGATTCCCGCCCAAACGGCGACACAGCTCGACGCCGACCTACTCAGCACGCTGGAGGAGCTAGTACAAACGCACGACCTCACAGCGGAGCAGAAAGAGAAATACTGGCACCCTGTCGCTTTGGGCGGCTTGGGATTCCAGAGCGTGAGCGCAGCGCGCCTGGATGCCCAAGCGGCCTCGTGGGCGCTCTGCGAGAAGCCGGTGCTACAGCGACTGGGCCTCCGCGACAGAGATGACCTTCTCCACTACTGCCCGGGCTTGAGACCGGCGCTCCACCGCCTCCAGAGCACTGTCGACGCGCTGACTCAGGAAGAGGCAGCGCAGCAGGCGCCCGACACGGAGCCGCCCGACACTACCCAGCGGCGCTTTACCAGGCACAGGCGGCACGCAGAGTGGACGCAGTGGCTGCGACGCACCCAGATGGAACCGCATCAACGGGCCTGGGCTCTTAGCACGACAGGCAAGGGGGCAGGCGCGTGGCTCGGGCCGCCCACGCGGCCCGACCACCACCTCGCTGACGCCCACTTCAGGATGGCCGTGAGACACAGACTCGGAGGTCTCGTACGCGCAGCTGACGGCCCCTGCCTTTCAGAAAGGAGGACGGAACCCTCTGCGCCGGCACCGTCGACACTAACGGACGCCACGCGCTTTGCTGCTCCTATGGCGGCTTCATGGTTAAGAGGCACAACAACCTGCGCGACACCATCGCGCGAGCCCTACGCGAAGCCGGCATTTGCAACATCGCAGTCGAGCCATGGATTCGCCCGCCCACCGGGCCGGGCAATCCGGGTCTCCGCGCGGACCTCAGGTGCACCGACAGTGACGGCCAGTGGGCTTATCTGGACTTAACGATCGCGCATCCCGCCTCGCAGCAGAGCCTGCAGGCCGGCGGGGCCCACACCCAAGGCACCGCTGCGAGACTGGCCGAACAGGCCAAGCGCCGCAAATACAACGGAGTCGCTGGTTTCCAACCCCTCGGCTTCGAAGTGTCGGGAGCCATGGGCGAGTCCACCCGGAAATGGCTCGTGCAGCAAGTGCCTGAGGGCCCTGGGCGACTGGAGACTCTCAGCACTCTCCACCGGTCCATCGCCACCTGCGTGGTCCGGGAGGTGGCGCGCACGCTCATCAGCGCTGCCTGAGATGGTCGTCGGGCCAGCCAGCGCGCCTAACGCAGGGGTCTGGTGGCTCACGCCCCTGGACCTGGAACCGGCGGCCGAGCACGACGACGGCACCGGCGCGTGAACAGCGCTGCTGCGCGAGGACGCACGAGGACAGCACTAGGACAGCACGAGGACAGCACAGGCGCGAGGGCAGCACGAGGACAGCACGACAGCACGAGGACAACACTAGCACGAGGAGGGGAAGGGGCGCCGAGGAGGCGCGCCGAGGAGGAGAGGCGAGGCCGAGGAGGAAGAACGCCGAGGAGGAGCGCCGAGGAGGAGCGGCGGAAGCAGGTGGGGAGCAGCAGCGGCGCTAGGCGGCCGCGGGCGCCCGGCCCGCCACGGCGGCGGGTGCGGGCGCGGGCGCGCGCGGCGCGGCCCGCGGTGCGTCGCCCGCTCGAGGTCCGCCGCCCCGGGGCCCTCCTCGGACCCGAGGGCCCTGGGGCACCGAGGGGGAGGAGGAGGAGGATGAGGATGAGGGAGAAGAGGAGGATGAGGAGGAGGGGGAGGAGGATGGGGGAGGAGGAGGAGGGGGAGGAGGGGGAGGGGGAGGAGGGGGAGGAGGGGAAGGATGAGGAGGATGAGGTGAATGAGGAGGAGGAGGAGGAGGAGGAGGAGGAGGAGGAGGAGGAGGAGGAGGAGGAGGAGGAGGAGGAGGAGGAGGAGGAGGACGAGGAGGACGAGGAGGAGATGAGGAGGAAGACGACACGTACGCAGGAGGACGCAGGAAGAAGGAGGGAGGAGGAGGGATGGAGGTAGTTTTTGCGAGGGGCAGTGAAAGGTGGGGATACGGCAGGCAGAGAGGATGGGGGAGGGGGGGGCGGATCTGATGAGAAAGGCGACGGAGCCCCCGCGGACGACTCTGATGACGATGGCCCTCCGATCATGCAGATGTCCCCGCTGGACCTGCGTTTCTCGCAACGAAAGACCAGGAGCTTCTTTGCGGACGGCAAGGTCGTGGAAGAGACCGCGAAGCAGATTCAAGTCGTGAGGAGACTCCTCGTTCCTCCTCCCGTCTTCTCTTCTATACCGTTCATCCCCTCCATCCCCTCCCCTCTTCGGCCTCATCCTTCTGCTCCTTTATCCCCTCCACCTTCCGCCCTCATCCCTCATCCCTCTTTTCATGCCCCACTGCTCCTCCACAGCTGTTCGACATGCGTGCTACTCTCCCCTCTCCCCCGAAGATGGCCAGGGATGAGCGCGACCCCCTCCGCGTCGCTGCAGTTGCACGGGACTCCGCGGAGTGGACCTTTCCCCCAGCAGCACTGCCTGCACAAAGAAGTTCGTAGTCGGTTTTCTGACGTGCCTGGACGGGCTGCCCGGGGTCTTCGCCACGCCGGAGCCCGTGCCCGCTCGTGGGCGCCTCTTGCGCCGGGTGGGTTCCCCGGGGATCCGCCGCCTCGGCGCCCGGTGCCCGCTCGTGGGCGCCTCGTGGGCGCCCCGTGCGCCTGGTGGGCCTCCGGGGGTTTCGCCTCGTTGGCGTCTCGCCAGATCGCGGGCGCCTCGTGGGCGCCCCGTGCGCCCACCTCGAGCAGCATTGGCTTGCACCGCTTAGCCTGCACTGCTCAATTCGCCTTGCAAGCATTGACGCTGCCACCCTTCTCCCTCGGGGTTGTCGTTCCTAGATGGGGCGCGACAAAGTACAAGTCAGTCCATGGCTGGACCTAAACGGTGTTTTGGCGAGTTCATGGGCCGTTTTCGTTTCCATTTCGTTTTGCTGTAAAGGCGGATTGAAGACAAAAAGAGGGGAAACGAAAACAAAACGAAAACGACAAACACCGTTAAGGTTGAGCCCCGAATCAGTCTCCCAAATCGTCAGTTGCCCATATCCCAGCCAGGCTGGTATCGCCCTCCCCACTCGCCCCTGTCAAATGATACTATGCGCGCAGTCGTTCATCTCATAACATTGCAAGGCTCTCTTGCGCACATTGCAGCGAAGTCCGCACGCGCGCGCACATGTTAAGATCATGCCACACGCTTGCGTCCTGCAAGCATCTCAACACACAAGGCATCAAGCACACACGTCTTTTCATAACACAAAGTCTGCATCGTTTCTGCCCGCGCGCACTCGCTGAACTCATAGGAACACATGTTTGTAGCAATCTCGTCCAGAACCCGCATTATCATCTCACCACGGTGTGCATCTGCGCTAATCTAGCATGCGCCGGGTGCCCGAATCCGTGTCAGCGAACACCACGCAGGCTACGCGCGCGTGCCGCCGCGCGCGCGTGTGTCGTAATGGATTCAACACCATTTGTTTTACAAGATATATCACTTCAACAATCCGTAGCCGTTTTTGGCTCAAGCACTGTATTCTCGAGTTCCGATCCTCTCAGAGTTTCCGACTTGATCGCAGCGCGCATAAGTGGTTTCGGCTTTCCTCGGCAAACGCATCCAGGATGTCTTTCCACCCTCACCACGATGAGGAGTGCCTCGTCGGCACTCTCGAGGAGGCGCAGCGCGCCCTGACGCGGAGCCAGGGCGAGGAGCCGAGCCGCTCCGTGACGAGGAGCTGACTGCAGAAGGCCTCGCTGGGCGTCGTGGTTTGCTCGGGTGTGTTGGCGTGTGCTGCCTGGGGGCTGAGAGTTGCGGAGAAGGCTCGCAGTGACATCGAATCTCGGGTTGGACTGGAGAAACCCGCCATGGTCGGGACAAGTGGCAGCCACGTCGAAGACTGGACCGTGTACGATAACACCGGTTGCTCCAACTGGAACGCCATCCAGATCGGCCCGAAGAGTGTCATGCCCACCTACTCTGCCTGCGCGACGTCTTGCAGGTACAGCCCTGGCTGCACCGGCTTCAACTTCGAGGACGCGAACCCCCCAGTGTGCAGCGCCGGCACAAGTTCGTCTGGCGTCGGGTCGTGCTACCGCTGGGGGCCCTCCACCTGTTCCAAAGAGAAGAACGACTGCTGGGACAACTTCTTCCTGGACAACGCCGAGCCAACGGTGTGGTCGGCTCCAGACAAGGGGCAGGGGTGCAGCAACTGGAGGGACATCCTCCTGACGAGGCTCTCGGGCATCAGCAATGCGGACGACTGTGGTCTCCAGTGCCTTGCGCACAGGGGCGCGGGCTGCGTGGAGTTCGGCTATCAGGCCGACGACTGCGTCTCCGGACGTGGCCCTGGCGCAAGGTCGTGCTACCTGTACAAGGGCGTGTGCTCCATGCAGGGCAACGCTTGCCTGGACCACTACGCACTGGAGAGTTACACGGAGCCGTCGGGCCCGTTCGAACTGAACGGCGCAGGTCGTGGCTGCAGCAACTTTGCCGAGATCATCCTGGGCGAGCCTTCCTTCCAGGCATCTGCTGGAGCCTGTGGGAAGGTCTGCGAAGACGTTGGTGGCTGCGTGGGCTTCGGCTACCAGAGCGGCCTGCCATGTCAGTGCGCATCCGGTGGCAGCGCGTTCACCGGCGCGTGCTACCTCTGGAGGGGCGAATGCAATCAAGAGCCCAACGCGTGCTGGAACAACTACAAGATCGCGCCAGCCACTCCTGCGCCCCCCCCCCCTGATGCGCCCTCGCAAACAGGTGCGCGCGAGTACTGCCTGAGGGCCGCCGAGCTCCGGGTCGACTTCGACGCCCAGGGGGGCGCGGGGACCCCCGCCAACCCCAGCGGGTCCGTCGAGCTGAGAGACCAGGGCTGGACGACCACAGGGCTTGCGCGGGTCAGCTCCAGAGGCGTATGGAACCTGTTGAATGGCTGGATCGCTTTCGATATGGATTTGTCCCAGACGATCGTCGGCCTCCAGACTGGTGGCATGCAGGGTCCCAACCCGAATCTCTATACCGTCTTCCCGCAGACCGGCTCTGGGGACTACGACGGAAGGCCGCGGACAATTGCTGGTGCTGCTACTCAGTACTGCGACGGCCAAGGAGAGTTCTCGGCGCAGCCGCAGACGCCTGCAAACCTAGTCCCCAACTCATTCTGCCCGAAGATGGACATCATCGAGACCAACAGCAAGCTGGCCTTCGCGACTACGTGGCACTCCACGTTCACCTTCTCCCCAGATAATCCAGGAGACTATCCTGGCCCGGATCCGTGCAACCAGTTCGGCTGCAACAACAACCAGTTCTTCACCCCGGCGCCGGACCCTCCGAGCAGCTGCCAGCAGCTCCCCACAACGACCCCACCAACTCCCGTGACGACGTCTGGCATCGACAGCGCGCACCCATTCACCATCAACGCCAGTTTTGCCGCGGACGGGAGTATGACGGTCAAGTTTTTGCAGATGCAGGGCAACGCCGAGAGCGGAGTGCTGATCGGGCGGCAGGAAGTCTTTGGCGGCGGAAATCCGGTCACCCAGGCCACCCTCGACGCCCTCGTGGGAAACATGACCACGTTCGGCTCGGCCATCGAGTCCCCCCAGTTCAACGGTTTTGTCCCGCTAAGCTCGGAGTTCTTCAACAATGTCCAGTGCAACGACGGCACCAACAGTCTCAGCCAGTCCATCTACAGCGTCAGTAATCTGAGGGTCAAGGGCGTGCTCATGAGAGGATCGGCCTCCGAGTGCGTTTCCTAGAAAATCCCCCTCCAACGCTGATGCGCTACCCTCTGGTCCGATCGCCTCACTTCTCGAACTGCAGGTTAGCAGTGCACGTTTTATATGAATTTGCATCGTTTCTCCCCAAACAGCTTGCAGAGCGGGGTAACTCCGGCCGAGGGAATCCAAAGCAGAGACGTCCTCCAAAAAAATTGGTGGTCCTGGTCGTTTCGCTTGAGACATCCTAGCAACTCTCGTTACCGAGTTGTCCAGGATAGGGCGTTTCGCGTGAGACATCCTCCAAACTCTGAGCTCCCAGATGCCGCGCAAGAGGTGGTCCGGCCCGTTTCGCCTGAGACATCCTCGAATTTCTGGGCTCCGAGATGCCGCGCGAGAGGTGGTCCGGCTCGTTTCGCCGGAGACATCCTTCAAACTCTGAGCTCCCAGATGTCGCGCGAGAGGTGGCCCGGCCCGTATCGCCTGAGACATCCTCCAAACTCTGAACTCTGAGATGCCGTGCGCGAGGTGGTCCGGCCCGTTTCGCTTGAGACTTCCTCGCAAGTTTTAGTTTGAGATGCCGCGCAAGAGGTGGTCCAGCCCATTTCGCTTGAGACATCCTCGAAACTCTGGGCTCCGAGATCCCGCGCAAGAGGTGGTCCGGCCCGCTTCGCTTGAGACGTCCTCCAAACTCTGAGCCCTGATATGCCGTGCGCGAGGTGGTCCGGCTCGTTTTGCTTGAGACATCCTCGCAACTCTGCGCTCTCTGATGCCGCGCGAGAGGTGGTCCGGCCCGTTTCGCTTGAGACATCCTCCAAACTCTGAGCCCCGAGATGCCGCCCAAGAGGTGGTCTGGCCCTTTTCACTTGAGACATCTTCGCACATTTGCATTCCGAGATGCCGCGCGAGAGGTGGTCCGGCCCGTTTTGTCTGAGACGTCCTCGAAACTCTGAGCTCTGAGATGTCGCGCGCGAGGTGGTCTGGCCCGTTTCGCTTGAGACATCCTTGAGACTCTGAGCTCTGAGCTGCCGCGCAAGAGGTGGTCCAGCCAATTTCGCCTGAGACATCCTCGCAACTCTGACCTCGGAGATGCCGCGCGCGACGTGATCCAGCATGTTTCACCTGAGACATCCTCGCAACTCTGAGCTCCGAGATGCCGTGCGCAAGGTGGTCCGGCCCGTTTCGCACAAGACATTCTCGCAACTCTGCGCTCCCAGATGCCGCGCAAGAGGTGGTCCAGCCTGGGGGCCCAGAAGACCACATGTTACATATCCCCTTTGAGACCCTGGGAGCCCCAGGAGGCCCCAGAGAGCTTCAGGAGGCCGCAGGACGCCCAGGACAGGCCCCAGGAGATTCCCAGGAGGCTCCCAGGAGGTCCCAGGAGGCCCCCTACCAGCACGTGTCAAGTTAATCCACATCTGGTGTCGATTCGTTGATTTTTCTCCCTCGTGGCCCCCATTTTGGGGGCCCAGACGGCAACATGTTAGATCTCCCCCCCTGGGAGCCCTAAGAGGCTTCAGGAAGCCCCAGGTGGGGTCCAGGAGGCCACAGGAGGCCCAGGAGGAATCCCCAGGAGGTCCCCAGGAGGCCACAGGAGGCCCCAGGAGGCCCCCGCAACTCGGAGCTCTGAGATGCCGCGCTCGAGGTGGTCCGGCCCGTTTCGCCTGAGACTTCCTCGCACCACGTTTCTCCCGAGACATCGTCGCAACTCTGGGGTCCGAGATGCTGCGCGCGAGGTGGTCCAGCCCGTTACGCTGGAGACATCCTCGCAACTTTGGGCTCCGAGATGCCGCTCGGGATGAAGAGGAGGAGGAGGAGGAGGAGGAGGAGGGCGAAGGAAGGGAGTTGCAGAAGAGGACCTAACGGGAAGCGAGTGTAACGTGGACTTGCCAGAACGTGTGCGAGATGTCGTCAGGCCCGTTTCGTTTGAGACATCCTTCCAATACTGATTTCCAAGATGCCGCTCGCGAGGTGGTCCGGCCCGTTTCGCTTGAGCCATCCTCACAATGCGAAGCTCGAAGATGTTGCGCGCGAGATGGTCTGGTCCGTTCTGCCTAAGATGTTTCGTAGCACAGGGGCTCCAATCACAACCTCTCTCATTCCTTCTCCCGCCTCCCTCTTCCCTCTTCCCGCGTCCCTCGTGTTATCATGTTCTAACATGACATGCCGGCCTGCACTGGACGGGCACGCAATCGACCTTGGAAACCGCAGTGGGTGTAAAATCCTTGTTTAGGGATACTGCACTCCGGTTATAATTTTATTGCGCGGCCAAAGCAAGGATCACCGTATTGGAGCGTGTTCCTTGTGGACGCGAGGAGGAGGTGGAGGAGGCGGAGGAGAGAATTTATCGGCTGTCCGGTGGGACTCCGGTGGGATAAGGGCCGAACATCTCTGTCCAAATCGACGCACATTGGATCAATCTGAGTTTGATCGAGGTCGTTATTGGATGAGTTAGTTCTCTGTGCGCCTGTGTGCGCAAACAGTAACAAGCAGTTCCAGCTCCAGCGGCGCAATCGTAGTGTAGTAGGAGAGCAACAGTGTGTAGCTTGCTTGGTGGGTCTCCGAAGGCGTAAGTGCCTGAAGGATGGACATGCGCCAGCCTTTTTGGTCACCCTGCACGCTCTTCAGCTTGGGCGTGCATGTCCTTTCATATTCCTCGTTCTCCCTCCTCCTTCAATGGACACCTCCCTCTCTTCCTCTACCTCCGTCGGTAGTTTTGCTGCCCTTGGTTCGCCATGCGCACTGGGTTTCGGGAATCAGCCCTGCGCGGTCCTCACCCACGCCGGTGTCTGGCTTAGCGCATTGTCGAGCTTGACTCGACTTGCCACGCGACGGGGCCGTTGTCTTTGCCTGGGGAGGGGGGGAGTGGAGGGCGCATGAGGAAGAGGAGAGCCTCATCGTTTTCATGGGCCGGGACTGTGTCACACGTTCAGCTTTAGGCTGAGATGTGCCCATGCAAAGCAGGTCAGCCGAGCACATGTAGCAAATTCTTTACGCTTCGCGTATCCCCACCAGCCCGTCTCACAGCAGCACCTCTCGCGAAGCATGCCGACAGTCGTGTTTTTACGTAACATCGAAGACTGATAGGTTTCTAATGGGTTAAAAGAGAGCAGCACATTACTCCACAGGGGGGTCTGGGCAGCCGTTGGGGACGAGTTGGGGTTTGCCGGCGGGGATCGTTTTTCGCATACAGTCACACACTTCGTGCTCTTCGATTTCCCAGAACTCCATTCCCGGGCCACATTCTGAATGCCCGGAGCCAACTGTAGGCCACTTCGTGCTCTTCGACTTCCCAGAACTCCATTCCCGGGCCACATTTTGGATGCCCGGAGCCAACTGTAGGCCACTTCGTGCTCTTCGAGTTCCCAGAACTCCATTCCCGGGCCACATTTTGAATGCCCGGAGCCAACTGTAGGCCACTTCGTGCTCTTCGAGTTCCCAGAACTCCATTCCCGGGCCACATTTTGAATGCCCCGAGCCAACTGTAGGCCACTTCGTGATCTTCGAGTTCCCAGAATTCCATTCCTGGGCATGATTTTGAATGCCCGGAGCCAACTGTAGGCCACTTCGTGTTCTTCGAGTTCCCGGAATTCCATTCCCGGGCCACATTTTGAATGCTGAGGCAGGCTGAGGCTGAGGCTGAGGCAGGCTGAGGCTGAGGCAGGCTGAGGCTGAGGCCGAGGCCGAAGGCAGACTGAGGCTGAGGCTGAGCAGGCTGAGCTGATGGCAGAGGCAGGCTGAGGCTGAGGCTGAGGCAGGCTGATGCTGAGGCAGGGAGGCTGAGGCTGAGGCTGAGGCTGAGGCCGAGGCTGATGCTGAGGCAGGCAGAGGCTGAGGCTGAGGCTGAGGCAGGCTGAGGCTGAGGCAGGCTCAGGCTGAGGCCGAGGCTGCAGGCAGACTGAGGCTGAGGCTGAAGCAGGCTGAGGCTGAGGCTGAGGCAGGCTGAGGCTGAGGCTGAGGCAGGCTGATGCTGAGGCAGGCTGAGGCTGAGGCTGAGGTGATGCAGGCTGAGGCTGAGGCAGGCTGAGGCTGAGGCCGAGGCTGAAGGCAGACTGAGGATGAGGCTGAAGCAGGCTGAGGCTGAGGCTGAGGCAGGCTGAGGCAGGCTGAGGCTGAGGCTGAGGCAGGCTGATGCTGAGGCAGGCTGAGGCTGAGGCTGAGGCTCATGCAGGCTGAGGCTGCGGCAGGCTGAGGCTGAGGCCGAAGCTGAAGGCAGACTGAGGCTGAGGCTGAAGCAGGCTGAGGCTGAGGCTGAGGCAGGCTGAGGCTGAGGCTGAGGCAGGCTGAGGCTGAGGCAGGCTGAGGCTGAGGCTGAGGCTGCTGCAGGCTGAGGCTGAGGCAGGCTGAGGCTGAGGCCGAGGCTGAAGGCAGACTGAGGCTGAGGCTGAAGCAGGCTGAGGCTGAGGCTGAGGCAGGCTGAGGCTGAGGCAGGCTGAGGCTGAGGCTGAGGCTCATGCAGGCTGAGGCTGAGGCAGGCGGAGGCTGAGGCCCGTGCTGAAGGCAGACTGAGGCTGAGGCTGAAGCAGGCTGAGGCTGAGGCTGAGGCAGGCTGAGGCTGAGGCTGATGCAGGCTGAGGCTGAGGCTAAGGCTGAGGCTGATGCAGGCTGAGGCTGCGGCAGGCTGAGGCTGAGGCGGAGGCTGAAGGCAGACTGAGGCTGAGGCTGAAGCAGGCTGAGGCTGAGGCTGAGGCAGGCTGAGGCTGAGGCTGAGGCAGGCTGAGGCTGAGGCAGGCTGAGGCTGAGGCCGAGGCTGAAGGCAGACTGAGGCTGAGGCTGAAGCAGGCCGAGGCTGAGGCTGAGGCTGAGGCAGGCTGAGGCTGAGGCTGAGGCAGGCTGATGCTGAGGCAGGCTGAGGCTGAGGCTGAGGCTGATGCAGGCCGAGGCTGAGGCAGCCTGAGGCTGAGGCGAGGCTGAAGGCAGACTGAGGCTGAGGCTGAAGCAGGCTGAGGCTGAGGCTGAGGCAGGCTGAGGCTGAGGCAGGCTGAGGCTGAGGCTGAGGCAGGCTGAGGCTGAGGCTGTGACTGCGACTGCCGTTGCCGCTG